AGTGGCTTGTTGTTGCATTTAAACAATTGCTTGTTTGTACCTGCCATTAGCAGGAATATCATTTCTGTGTCCTGTCTTGACAAAGCAGGATTTTCTATTAACGTCAAAGACAAGTGCCTTTCGGTTTTCAGAAATGATATTTACTATGCAACTGCTAAGATGACCAATGGTCTTTATATCTTAGACTTAGACGCCACTGTTTATAACGTAGATGTTAAGAGAAGCAAACCAAACAGTTTGAATCTCACATACCTTTGGCATTGTCGTTTGGGCCACATTAACGAGAAACGCATATCTAAGTTACGTCACTCTGGCGTACTTGATTCATTTGACCTCGAGTCTTATGATGTATGCCAATCTTGTTTACTCGGTAAAATGACAAAGGCTCCATTCACCGGTCACGGTGAAAGGGCGAGTGATATATTAGGCCTCATACACTCTGATGTATGTGGCCCAATCAACACTGAAGCTAGAGGTGGTTTCTCATACTTCGTAACATTTACTGATGACCTCAGTCGGTATGGATATGTGTATCTAATGAAACACAAATCGGAATGCTTTGACAAGTTCAAAGAATTCAGAAACGAAGTAGAGAAACAATTAAGCAAAAGTATCAAGACCCTCCGCTCGGATCGAGGAGGTGAGTACTTAAGCCTGGAGTTCGACGACTATATAAAAGAGCACGGGATCCTATCCCAGCTGACTCCTCCCGGTACACCCCAATTGAATGGAGTGTCTGAAAGGAGAAACCAAACGCTGCTCGATATGGTTCGGAGTATGATGAGTCTGACAACATTACCAGAGTCCTTTTGGGGAAAAGCACTATTAACTGCCGCACACACACTCAATCGCGTACCATCTAAGGCTGTTGAGAGCACACCATACGAGCTATGGCGTGGGACAAAACCAAATTTGTCGTACTTGAGGATTTGGGGTTGTGATGTTTACGTTAGACGCCTCATGACGTCTGGTAAGCTGGATTCCAAATCTGACAGGTGTAAATTTGTGGGATACCCTAAGGAAACGAAAGGGTATGAGTTCTATCATCCGACCGATAACAAAATCTTTGTTGCTCGGAATGGAACCTTCCTTGAGAAGGAGTTTCTCTCTACTGTTTCTAGTGGGAGAAAGGTAGACCTCGAAGAAATTCGAGAACCACAAGAAGAGATCTCAATAGCAGTGGAACCCGAGCGTCAAGATTTAGTATCTCGACCAGCTCAGGTTTTACCACGTAGGTCAGACCGGATGCGTAATCCTCCGGTTAGATACGGTTTCCTTGTATCTGATGAAGGTGACGTCTTGCTGGTAGACCAAGGCGAACCTGAGACCTACCTCGAGGCAATCACGTGCCCCGAATCCGAACAATGGCTTAATGCCATGAAATCCGAAATGGAGTCTATGTACAAAACCAAGTTTGGACCTTGGTTGATGCGCCCGAAGGGATAAAACCCATAGGGTGCAAATGGATTTTCAAAAAGAAAACAGACGTAGACGGGATGGTTCATACCTTCAAAGCTAGATTGGTAGCAAAAGGTTATAGACAAATCCATGGAATTGACTATGATGAAACCTTTTCTCCAGTTGTGATGCTGAAGTCCATTCGGATAATGCTTGCGATTGCAGCATTCTACGATTATGAGATTTGGCAGATGGACGTCAAGACGGCTTTCCTTAACGGGAACCTCAAAGAGGATGTCTATATGACACAGCCTGACGGTTTTACAATTGCTGGTGAATCTGCCAAAGTCTGTAAGCTACAACGGTCAATCTACGGATTGAAACAAGCATCTCGGAGTTGGTATATACGCTTTGATGAAACCATCACTAGTTTTGGTTTCGAGAAGAGTTCTGACGAGTCTTGTGTTTACAAAAAGGTCAGTGGGAGTGTGATAGTATTCCTAATCCTATATGTCGATGACATATTGTTAATGGGTAACGATGTTCCTGCTCTTACGTCTGTAAAGACTTGGTTGAGCGAGAACTTCGCCATGAAGGACTTGGGGAATGCTAGTTATGCCCTTGGCATAAGAATCTACCGTGATAGGTCAAGAAAGTTGATAGGTCTATGTC